ATAGAGAGGGGGGAGGGGAGGAAGGGGAAAGGGGGGGGTAGGGAAAGGGGTGGAGGAGGAGGATGAGGAGGAGAAAGGGTGGGGTATGGGGATAAGGTGGAAGGAGGAGGAGGAGAAGAAGAAGAAGAAGAAGAAAGAAGAAGAAGAAGAAGAAGAAGAAGAAGAAGAAGAAGAAGAAGAAGAAGAAGAAGAAATTTAAAATATCTAGAAGCGATAAAAAAGAAAGAAAAAAAATGAGAAAAACATCGACAAAAGAAGAAGAAAAAGAAGAAGAAAGGAGAAGAAAGAAGAAGGATAATGAAAACAATAAGAAGAAGGAACAGAAGAAGGAGAGAAGAATGAATAGAAAATGAAATAGAAAGCTACACAAAATATATTTAATAGATGAAGCGAATCACAACATTTTTGGCATCCGACGCGTGTGTTTCTTGGCGCGTCTGACGAGGGATAGATAGATGGAGAAAAAAATAGATAAATGGAGTAAAAGAGAGAAGGAGGAAAATAAGTAAGCAAGGTAGAAGGGATAAGAAAGAAAGGGAATAGAGAGAGAGAAAGAGAGAGAGAGAGAGAGACGGAGAAGAAGAGAATTTTAAAATAAACGAGGTGAAAGTGGAAAAAAAAGTAAATGAATAAAAGAGGGAGAGAAGAAAACAAGATAAAAAATAAAATAAAAAGAGAGAAGGAAAAGACGAAGATAGGAAAAGATCGATAAGCGTCGGTTATTTTTTAAAAAATGGACTTTTCTCCGCTTTTTCCAAAAAAGGCAAGTCATCACGATCGGCGTGTGAGAAGGAAGAAGGGAGAGGAAGAGATAATGGGTAAAGGGGAGGGAAAGGGGAAGGGAGAAGAATGAAGGGAGGAAGTGAAGGGGGAGGGGAGGGTAGAGAGGGGGAGAAGAAGAGGAGGAGGGAAGCAGGAAGAGAAGAGGAAGTGGGAAGAAGAAGAAGGAGAAAAGGGAAGGAGAAGAGAAAGAGGGAAGAAGAAGAAGGAGAGAATGAGGGAAGGAGAAGAAGAATAGAATGAGGGAAGGAGAAGAGGAAGATGGAAGGAGAAGGAGAAGGGGAAGAGGGACGGAGAAGGAAAAGAGAAAGAAGGAAGAAGAGGGAGAAGGAAGAAGAAGGAGAAGAAGAAGAGGAAGAGGGAAGAAGGAGAGGAAGAGGGAAGAAGGAGAAAGGAGAAAGGAGAAGAAGAAAGGGTCACACAGCTCCACTGATCCAGGTGTGACGCCAAGTGACGCCTCGGATAGGTATGCCCCCCCCCCCCCCCCCCGGTGACCAGGATGGGACTCGAACTTAATTAATGGCGGTTACAGTGGCCTCCTCCTGCCCCTCCCCCCCCCCTCCCCTTCGTTTTCTCGCCCTTCGTTGGGTGTGGGGAAGGAAGGGGAGATAAAAGGGGGGAAGAGGAGAGGGACGAAAGAGGAAGAAGAAGGAAAGGAAAGAAGAAAAAAAAAACGACAATAATAAGTTAAAAAGAATAAAGAAAAAAACAAACATTCGGAGAAAAAAAATGAAAAACAGGGAATAGGGAATAACGATAAAGGATAAGAAAGACAGAAAACGCGGAGGAAAAGATAAAAAGAAGAAGAGATCGAAAGAAAGAGAGATCGAAAGACCTAAGAACAAGAGAGAAGCGAGGAGCGTCCTCAGGTCGGCGGTCGAAACGCGGTGCCGCCTCCGAGTCGATCGCTGCCACGTCTTGAAGAAGAACGAGGCAAAGGGCACTCGAGGAGAGGACGAGGCGCTCGCAAATACGCACAAACACACGAGCCACAAAACAAACACAGAGACATTAACTAACACACGAGGCACAAAACTAACACAGAGACATTAACTAACACACGAGGCACAAAACAAACACACGAGGCACAAACACAGAGTCATTAATATCTAACGCGCGGACGATCAGACCCACCAAACGCGGACGCAAACGTTAGACATACAGCGTGCGAACACGAAGGCACAAGCACACAAACGTACAAGCACAAAACATAAATACTCGAGACACAAACAAACACACAACACGCAAAGACAACAAAACACATGGAACTTACTTGAAGATACTTACACGCAAACACAGAGAAAAAAAAAACAAAGACACAAACACGGATACAAACATGCAAACAGACAAACAAAGCTGACTCGCACAAACACAAACAAACACAATCTGCCTCCCGCACTGCAGCAACTGAACACTGGCTCAACAGAAGACGAAAGTTATTATTATTATTATTATTTTCATTCTCATCGTTATCGCTATCGTTGTTATTGTTGTTTGTGATAATGGTAATATCTGTAATTATTATTATTATTATTATTATTATCATTATTATTATTATTATTATTATTATTATTATTATTATGAAAATTATTGTATGTCTTTCAGTATCATTATTAATGGTGAGGTTCATTACCCAAAATGTTGTAGTTAAGAATTTGTTATTAATTTTATTTTATTTTTTACTTTTTTCGGTAATGCAAGTATTATTGAAATTATGCAACCTTTATTCTGCCTTGTTGATTATGGTTAGAAGTTGGATTAATGGAATCCAACAGTTAATTGCATTAGGGTGAATACTCTCTCTCTCTCTCTCTCTCTCTCTCTCTCTCTCTC